CCTGCAGTCACCAAGACTGTACAAGAAGCACGATGAGACTGTGGACTCACAGCAGGGAGTCAGCCAGCGGGGGAACAGGCGAAGGACAGAGCTAGGTGGACTGTCCACTAATAAGAACTGTAACTGTGTGGTACTTCTCGATTAATGAAAAAATAAATATTAAAAATGCCAAAACTTGTTTCCAAAAGTGTGCACAGGTGGCGCTGATACAGGTATTTCTGACAGTAGGCCCAAATAACCTGACACTGGGCCATTTGACCTTTGTGTTCTGAAAGGTCACTAAAGATACAAAAATATATGTCACTACTAGTAATACTACTGCTGCTGCTACTACTAGAATATTTTGGTGTTTGGGACATACGACTTGTATTTCTTTTGAAGAGCAGACATTAATCTTCCTTCTCTGTTTAAAGTGCGGAGCTCAAAATAAGAGAGGACGAGATTTAACAACCAAGCTTGGAAAAAGTAAACAGTCGGCTGTAAGATGAACAGTTTGACTTTGTCCTTCTATGTTGAGGGAAAAAAGAATGATGAAGGGAAAATGTTTGCATAACACTCAGAAGCAATCGAATGAACCATGTGATCTGCTAAACTTACCTTGACTGAAGAAACTTAAGAAGCCAAAGTTGGTGACAAAGCAGCTGCTGTATCAAAACCATTGCAGTGATTGCTTGGGTTGAACTACGAGGGGTTTAAAAGGGTCTCAGACGTTTGGGGAGTTGGTTGTAAATGTCTGCAGACAAATCAAATCAATGACCAGGAGCTTTCCAGTGCAACCAGTCTCTCTGACCAGCCTGTAGGCCTGCAGAAATGGAGCTTTACCAATTGATTTCACAGAGACAGCCAGCAACAACTAGACAGTGATTACACACTTTCCAGGTGACCAGTGGTTACCAGCTGGTCAGCGACCCGCCTGTCTGACAGAGGCAAAGCAGAACCGACACTAGTGAGACTGCTGCACACCTGATTCAGAGTTCGGTTGGCAGGAAAATGAACTTGATTTGATGTGAAATTATTCAAAGGTGTTTGATACAGCCTGCCTGCCTGTGTGTGTGTGTGTGTGTGTGTGTGTGTGTGTGTGTGTGTGTGTGTGTGTGTGTGTGTGTACCTTCCCAATAACAGGGATGTCCACCGACCCCCACGTATCTGCTCCCCAGTGCACAATCCCCGATGCAAAATCTGCCGTCACTATTCCGAGGACTGTTACATAAATGCAGGCGTGGACAGAGAATTACAAAAACTTGATTAGAGGTGTACATGAACTCGTGAAAATGATTATTAGCATTTACATACAAAATCCCAGCCATCACAGTTTAGTGACTTCGTGTGAGTGTCAGCTTACCGATGCCGAGGACGATCTTGTAGATGTGAACGGTGGAGAAGTGCAGGAGGAGGAAAGAGAAGTTGATGATGAAAAGAAAGAGGCACAGGATCACACACACCCACTCCTGGAGCCGTTTACCTGAGGACGACACAGAAACACCTGACACTGCTGGGCCGACAGGCAAATACAGACAGACAGTGGGTGTCTGTATTAATGAAGGGGGGGTGTCCGCTGGGAGAACGCGTCGCTTTTTACCGAGGGTCAAAGGACCCGTCGCCCACAACGACCGCGCCCGTGTGTCCAGGCTGTTAATATGTAATCAGATGAAGACAAGTGTACTCCAGGCTGCGGGGTCATGACCTCTCATATGTGAAACACTGACACGGACGCAGCACCGAGCAGCACACACACAAGGGCTGTTTCAGGTGGGAGGTAGACCTCATAGGTCAGCAGTATCAACTAAAGAGGAAGAACAGTGACTAACTAAAAGTACTCTATTGCAATTCAGCAATATTAGAAGGGAGAAAGCCTCCAGCCAACAGCACTGAAGATCAGAGATAATATATTATTGAAAAAGAGCGCGCAGCATAGAGCGCGCAGCATAGAGCGCGCAGCATAGAGCGCGCAGCATAGAGCGCGCAGCATAGAGCGCGCGACGTGAGCGAGAAGCGTCTCCCACAAACTTGCGGTCTTCTGAATGGCGCCTTGCTTCCTTCTTCGCGGTCCTTGCTCGCGTGACCTGCCAGCTCAAGCAGGAAACATGACATCGTTCACTAAATAAAGCCACAAATATAAACCACCGCTGTAATGTTTTTAACTCACTTTCTTCTTCTTTTACAGCCACGCCCCCCACGCCGTTCTCCTAATCCTTCTGTCATTGCCAATCTAATGTGCCTTTAAAACTTTAATGTGTCCAGATCCTAATGTATCACACAGCATTAGGAGCCTATAAGATATTCATGACAGTTTTTTCTAATAAAGCACACAGGCCTGTAGACCTGAGTATGAATATGCTATCAGCCTCTCATATGGACTGAAGCGGTCACCCGAGATTTAGAATATGTGATTATGGATATTTCACGAATCGTCAAACGTGACCCTTCACCTTCTAAAAATAGACGCCATCAAAGTTGTAAAGAAGCAGATGGTAGAAACTTCTAAACGACTTTGACTTTGCTGGTTGTTGAAAATTGTTTTGAAAAACTTTCAGCTGTGAACGAGTCGTTTGGTGCGCTGATAACCACATACTCAGCTTGATTCAAACAATCATCTTTAACAGGAAGTCTGTACAGATTATATTTAATGTACTGCTGAAAAACAAAAGTCAAAGGAATACATTTTAACCAGAGTTCAGCATCAAATCAGTTAAACTTCAAGGATATTGGTGGGGAACCTCCAAAGAGGTTTTACAGTGACGTCACTTTACCCCTCGTCATCTTCTCTGACTGCTCTTACAGGAGTCAGGGTCACTGCTGGTATCATGATACCTGGACCCTCCAAAGGCTGCAAATGTTGTCCAACTGCTCCAAGATGGCTCAGTCATACATGCCACTGGCAGAAGGTTTGCTGTATCTCCCGGCACAGTCTCGAGAGCATGGAGGAAATTCCAGGAGAAAGGCAGTTACTGTAGAAGATCCATCAGTAGAGTGGACATCTGCTCCTCTGTCCAAGGAGGAACAGCAGGAGGAACTGCCAGAGCCTGACAGAAGGACTTCTAGCAGGTGTGAATGTCTCTGACCAACCAATCAGAAAGAAGACTTCATGAGCCCAAAATCCTCTAGTGAGCCCTGTGTTCACTGTGCAGTGCCATGGAGCCTGGCTGCCGTAATACCAGAACAGGCAGGTCCGCCACCAGCACATGTGGCAAACATGGGTCTTGATAAGGCGTGGGGGATGCCCGTAACCTCGTTCAGCATGTGGTCAGTGACGGTGTAGGGGAGGCACTGAGCATACTCACTGAGGAACAACAGCATCCTGATTACTGTCAAGTATCAGGATGAAATCCCTAAACTACTGTCAAACATTACGTTGGTGCAGTGGCTGCTGGTTCCTCCGAGTGCACAACAACGCCGGCCTCATATGGCGAGACAGTGCGATCAGTTCCTGATAACGCCGACTGGCCCCGGTGTTCGCCTGACCCAAATCCGGTAGATCCCCTCTGGGAATGATGCTTCGATGTCAGATCCATGGTCTCATCAGGAGCATGGCCCAACATCGGCACACACAGAAGCACACGGGCCGTACGAACTACTGAGGACCATGTTGAGGTGCAACATTATGCTGCGTTACTTTACGTTGATTTGGGGGTTCCTTTGAATTCAGCCCTTTGTGCAGAAGGTTGATCGTTTTCCTGTAAGTGACGCTGCATGCTCCAGTTTCTAACACCGTCCATATCAGCACAGAGATCAGCAGGACCCTCTGACATCTGATGTGTTTTCAAAGTGTTCCTTTAATTGTTTCTTAGTAGTGGATAATATAAACATATAATTAAATCTTGATGGCTCATGCCAAGTATCGGCTGGTGTCACCGCTCCAACGCTGCTTCCCCAGCACATCACAGCAGAGTACATCGTAGTTTCCACAGCTCAGTGACAGAAAACCTGTCAACATTTTGCAGAACTCACTGAAGGATCTCAGCTTCCTCAAAAATCAGAGCTTGTTCGTTCCTTTTCGGTCTCTCAGTTCTCGATGGGCACATCCAAGCATTGGGCCCAGACACGACATCACCTTCCTGTCTGAGGACAGACATAGGTCGTGTCGCCATCCTCTTCTTTCTGGAGTTGATCGCCATCTTTCTGGTCTTATTCACACACACCATATCATACCATTCACGTATGACATGGCGGTATTTATTTTCTTATTGTGTTAGGCAATGATAAGAAAATAAAATATCTCCTCCATACCTGCTTCAT